TAGATCAGATCTCTCTCTCTCTCTCTCTCTCTCTTCCTCCCACCAACATCAGCAAGCCACCATCAATCAAAATTCATATTAGTGGTTCCCGGGGTTTAAAATTATGAGTCTGGTGGTCCCTGAGGTCCAAAAGGTTGGTGACCTCTGGTCTAAACTGCCCAGCCATCAACTTGTACAGAGAAAGTAAATTTTGGAGATAATAGAATATGCCACCTACGGTTGGACTTAATCTAAAATTAACCAATGGAATTGCTTGCCACCAGAAGTTGTAGGTGGTGCAACACTGGAGGTTTTTAACAAGAGATTGGACATCCTTTTGTCTGGCAGAGGTTTGGACTAGAAAACCTTCCAGCTCTATTTTGATTGATTGATATGTATTGTATATATACACATACATACACACCTATATATGGCTTACTTTTGGGGAGGAAAATAAGGGGAGAAATTCTGCCTCTGCCTCCCAGCATCCATCGGTATTCATCTGGCTAGCATCCTATCAGTGTGTGAAAGAGTTGAGGGCTGTTTGGAAACTGAAACAGTATTTGCTGTGTGAGCAAGAAGGAGACAGCAAGGAGCCTGGGCGTGGCTTAGCTCAACTGTTCTGTATTAAAGCTGCCTGCTGCTTTGAAACTGAAAGTGAAACTCCTCTTGTGTTTTGCCTTTGGAACAGATTTCTTTTCAGGTGGGGAGTAGAACTCCTTAGCATCAGAGCGTGTTGTTAATAATATAGGAAATGCTAATGCTCTGATGGTCATTTTGAAAATTCCTTCCTTAATGAGCACCTAGAAGCCAAGAGGAACATATGAGTCAAATTTCAAGTTTGTAGGATTGACGGTTTTGCAGATTTGTGATGATGCATGAGTGGTATTTCGCTATTATGTACATAGAAAGATATAGTATAGTGTCAACTCATAAATCATTCCTATGCCTGTTTTCCTAGTTGACATATAGTATAGATATTGTACACACACGAAGTATATAGCATATAGTTTGCATTTATATATTATGTAAATTTGTTGTGACTATAACTTCCCTTGGTCCGGTATCTTCCAAGAACCTGAAAGTGATTTGAGCGTGGCAATTTTGTGGGGCTATGAATGTGTGAGTGAGTAACCATAAGGTAAATTAGCAAGTACTCGCTAACCACTTTGTCTTTTGACTAGAGATCGAGAACATATGTGTGTTTTTCAACAACTAAAAGGGGTGATGACCCAGAGTGGGATACAAAATAAACACAGTCACAAAAAAGCGGTGAAGCCCCTTTTGTTCCTTCACTTTGCTTCCAACCTCCAAATATCCTTGACTGAAGACAAAAAACTCCCACACAAACAGTTACAAGACAGAGGAAAAAAGCAGTACAAACCAGGCAAGATAAGAGCTGGAGGATGTCCACAGGTAACAGAATATACACTGGGAAGGACACCAAACTCAGAGAGGAACCTTAAACTAGAGATATTTCCATGCTTTGTTTCCAGCACTAGTCCGTATGCATGTCTGTCCTCTTATCCAGTTGTCACAGCTGCAGCCCATGAAGGGGATCAAGGCCCTTTCCTCCCCCATAGACCATCTCTCTCCTTTATCCTCTCCTCCCTGCGTGCCCCTAGGATGGAGAGGGGATGGGCCTGGGTCCTCTTCTGACTGCCCAGCCGGCCTCTGCCTTTCCCCAGCCTCCTCCACAACCTCCGGAGCTGCACTTCCAATCCCTGTCGGCTGTTCCTCCTCTCCCTCGGAGTCAGTCTCCACCAGGAGCATGACAAAAGGAGAACCAAGGAAGAAAAGAGCAACAAGCTGTGTGTGTGTAAAGAGACAAGAGAGGGGGGAGGGGAGAAGCAGAGAGGGAGGGAGAGAGGGAGGGAGAGAAAGAGGGAGGGAGAGAGAGAGACCCAGAGAGAGGGGGAGGGAGGAAGGGAGGGAGAGGGGGGAAGGGAGGAAGAGGGGGGGAGGGCGTTGTGGTTCGCCAACATCCGGTGCGGACGGCAGAGGGCTCTGACAGCAAGGACAAAAGGAGACCAGTCAGCGATCCTGGCGAGGACTTGGACGAGGGTCCTTCGTCTGATGCAGGAATGGGGCCAGGACTATCAGAGAGTGGGGTGCTGCCTTTGGAGCTTTTGGGGTCTGGCAGCAGTGAAGCAGAAGACCCTGGGGAGCTTTGACCCAGTGTGTGTGTGTGAAGGGCTGCTCGAAGGAGAGAGCAGCTGAAGCAGCAAGGGCGACTCAGGAGTAAGGCTGGAAAATGATGGCCCCTCCCATAAGGGATAAAAAACCAGCCCTCGGGGATGTGTTCTTTGCAGGAAGCAAAGACGTTTTTTAGACTCTGAGTCCTCGTTGAAACCTTGCAAAGTCCAGTTTGTTTTTGAAACTTCTGTCAGTTGATATTTATCGGTAATTGGACTTCTGTTCTTGGCAGCCTTTGACAACCTTGAAAGGTGTTAGGGATACACCCTAGCAGAATCTGCACTGCAGGCAGGCAGGCAGGCAGGCAAAATATGTGAGATAAACGTTTTTGTAGCTTACACTCAGTAAAACAGATACACTGTGCTAGTTAAATAGTTTATTCCAGTAAGAGTTTTAGCATAGTCAAACAGTCCATATATCTATCATTAATTCAGTCTGTCCAGGGATTATTCAGTTGCAAAGTCCAGTGTCGAAAAAGAGGTCAGTAAACTTACAAATATCAGTCCAGTAATATATCTCCTCGCAGTAGAGATATGAAGAAGTCAAACCTCCTTTCTTCCTTCAGCAACTCAGCAGTAGGGAAAACACGCAGTTAGCAAACCATCAATCCATCAAACCAGCAATCGTCAGGTTCTCTTGTTCCCTCTTATGGCGGTTTCACACCGCACCCAAAATTACATGCTTTGCAGTTTAAAGTGACACACACTTAAACTTACAATCATAGTTTATATATACTATTTTACCCAAACTACGTTAGGTAACCTTGTTATTCCTAACAAAAGGGCTTGCTTTGATCTCAGACAATAAGGTTTAAATGACTCTTGGCTGGGAATGCAAAGAATTCCCAGCACCGCATTTAAAAAGGTTTGCTTTTATACACAGTTTGTGTTTGTTTAATTTGAACAAGGCTTGGGTTAGAACAGAGGGAGACAGAAAGAGACAGAGACAGAGAGGAAGATCAAACAGAAGAGCTGTGATTAAATTTGTTTATTTACTCTATGCATGCTTGATAATTGGGCAGCTTAAATAACGTAGCAAGCCCATCTGACGCTGTTCACACAGATGATGGCGCTTATATGTACAGAATTTTTTTAAAAGAAAAAGATATTTCTTTTCTTTTTTTTTGAAGTCAAGTTCGATTTTATTTTCCTCGTAAGAGGAAGGAGAGGATAACCACACATTTACCACACTATAAAGAGGAAGGAGAGGGTAACCACACATTTCATAATAATTTGCCGGAGAATTTAGTTCCACTCTGATGCTCTGAAGTTTTACTTCTAGGAAAGACACAGAGGGGGTGGTGCAGAGGTGGTATTCAGCAGGTTCTGACCAGTTGGGAGCTTGTGGCCTTGCCTTTATCTTAATGAGCTGATAGGGACTATTGTCAGGTGTGGCAGCATTCAAAAATCCAAGAAAGAAAACCTCAGGCTCCATTTTTATAGAGAAAAGGACTTTTACTGAAATTGAAGTGGTAGCAACAGGAGAAATACGAGATCTGGAGCAAAAGGCATGGAAATTACATATTATTATCCCATGTCCCCATCCCCAACAATTCAAATTGGGGACATCCAATCCGAGGAGTGCATGATGTCATGTGGGTACATTTTTTAATGGCATCTCAGACATCTGGTATGTCAAGATGATTGATCTTGGCCTAGAAAAGATAAGTGTCTGCATTTGTGCAGTATGTGTTGTGCTTAGCTGGCAGCAGGTGCGGACGGCTGAGGAGAGTGAGGACTCAGATGAGGGGCCAGGACCATTAAGGAGTAGGCTGCTGCCTTCAGAGATTGTGGGGGCTGGCAACAGCGATGAGGAGGTTCCCGAGGAGCCTGTGCCAAGTGCACGTGCGTGCAGGATTGCTCGTAGGAAAGAGCAGCATGGGCGACTCAGGAAGCAAAGACGTTTTGAACCTCAGCCTCGTGGACATTGCAGCTGCTATTTGAAGACCCTCGTGTTGTGAAATATTTCTTATCTGTGATTCTTGGCAGTCTCGCACAGTTTTGGCAAGGTTTGTGCTTATCAAAGTTAATTAGTTTGCAGCAGCCTTTTATCTGTGAAGAAACAGAATTCTTAGCTGAAACATAAAAAAGGTTGTACTCCTTTGTCTTGTGTTTGTTCTCTTGGAACCAGGGTTGGGTCAGAACAGTATGCAAGAAAGCATCCCAACTTTTACAATTCACACAACTTCAACCTTCAGCACCCTTCCCCACATGAGGCCCAATTATTCATCTCCGCTCCACTTTCTATGGTATCTGGAAAGAGTCAAGCAGAAGAAGGAATCTTGGAGGCTGACAACTATTATATCAGTGAACTCCTTGTAGGACGCTTGCCTGGACTTTCTGTTGGTGAAGGCAGTTAATTCCCAAGGTGTAAATCAGAGGTCTCCAAACTTGGCAACTTTAAGACTTGTGGACTTCAACTCCCATAGGTGGCTGGAGAATTCTGGGAGTTGAAATCCACAAGACTTAAAGTTGCCAAGTTTGGGGACCCCTGGTGAAAATAAAGAGGGTTTGGGGTTTTTTTCTTGGTGAGGAGTCTGTTTCTTGCTTCTGCAAAGGCTGGGTCAGAACACTTTGAAGTAAAGTCTAATTTTCTAATTTTTGGGACGACGGGACGGCTAGTCATTGAATAGTGCTGATTTAGGGATGGTTTTTATTGGTCCTCAATAAGCAGCTTCTCTGACTTCATTGGCTAGATGCCATCACTTACCCAGAAATTCAAACTTGAGGCATTGGTCCAATTTTATGAAAAGGAAATGGGAGTTCCTCTTTGGTTTCTTGCTCTGGTGGAAAGATCTGTTCGGCAAGACACGAAGTCAACTCAGATTGACTCTCCTGTTGCTATTGGCATGGCTGCCTTGGGGTCCTTCAAGAGCGTCTGCAGTCCCCTTCCGATGCTCCTCCTCCTCCTCCTCCTCCTCCTGCAAGATCCGGGTGAGTGTTGACAGTCGAGATCAGACCAATTCCTTTACTCAGAGTTGCTACTGGAATAAAATCCAGGGTGAGAGGAACATTAAGGTGGCTTCAAACCTGAGGGGCTTCTCTGAAAGTTGAGGTGAGCAGAAAAAATATGACCTACCCTGAAAGTAAGCCCTAGCTTGATTTTTACACAATATAAGCCTTAGCCCCACCAAAAAATAAACCCTAATTAACTTCCCACCCACTCCAGAGTGGATGGGTAAAAATTAAGCTAAGGTGGGGGTTGGGGGGTGGAGCTGCCCTACTATTTACTTTTGGACAGTTATAGACAGGCCTCACACACACAACACCTGACTTGCTGGCCCATTTCTTCTGCAGCCAGCAAGGCTGGCAAATCTTTCCTGAAGGCCTCTGGAGCTGATAAGAAAGCTCCGGATTGATCCTGAGCTCTGTTACCCCCTGCAGAGGCCTTCAGGAAAGCCACAGAAGAAGAAATTCCCGAAGGCCTCTGACCGCGAAAAGGAAGCCAGGGCGACGCGCACAAGTGACGTTAGTCAATGGATGGCATTCCCCGAAAATAAGACCTGGTGCCTTTTTCTGGTGGCAAAAACAATCTAAGTCAGGCAGTGGTGGGATTCAAATCATTTAACAACCGGTTTCTCTGCCCTGGTGATTTCTTCCGACAACCAGTTCGTGCAAACTACTCAGAAAGTTAACATCCGGTTCTCCCAAACTGGTGCAAACTGGCTGAATGCCACCACTGAAGGCAGGGTCTTATTTTTGGGGAAACATGGATAGATCTGGGGAGGAGATTTCTTCCATTGCTTCCCACCCGAGTGGCTAAGTGAGCAAGTCAGAAAGAGTATCAGAGCTCTGAAGTTCTGAAGATCAACCGGGGACACCTGGTTTGATCTGGTCCTTGAAGTGTGGACTTCAGGATAGTTGGACCATACCTTCAACGCTTGATAGAATCCTACATCTGGAAGGGAAGGCACCTTGAAGGTATTCTAATCCAACCTGCTGCCAAACGCTGGAATCCTCATAACATCTAAAAAAAAAACAGCTGTTCTATATTTTCTTAGAAACTCACAATGATGGGGGGCCCTACAAGTTAATCCTTCTCGCTGTAAGGAATTATCCAAAGAAGATTGACCAATAGTTCTCAAGAAAAGCGGTAAACTCTTTATTGCGCAAGTGCACAGTAACTTTCTACACGGAGTGTTTTTCAAAGGAAAATCTGAAGAAAATACCTCTTGAAAAAGGACCTTTAGAACAACCATGACTGAGAATCTCCATAGACATTTGTACCAGAGGTGGGATTCAGCTGTTTCTGACCAGTTCTGGAGAATCAGCAGCAGAAATTTTGAGTAGTTCAGAGAACCGGCAAATCCCACCTCTGACTGGCCCCACCAACCCCATCTCTTCTCTGCCTCCCGTGTCACAGCTGATTGGCTGGGTCTCCTTTGGTTGCCCTGCACAGGAGAACGGAGCTGGAAAGCAGGTTAGTGGGGTGGGGAGGGAATGGGATTTTGCAGTATCCTTCCCCCTGGAGTAGGGAAGGAATGTAGATTTTACAGGATCCTTCCCCTGCCATGCCCACCAAGCCATGCCCACAGAACTGGTAGTAATAAAAAAAAATTGAATCCCACCACTGCATTAAGCACAGAATGAGATTCTTTCTGGCTATCACCAACACGGAGTCTGAAAATTGTGTTATGTTCAACTCCTGTTCCACAATAACCGAAACAAAAAGAGAGATTTTATAAAATATATGTGAAAGTCACACAACTTCTGGAAAAATCACGACAGCCAGAAGGAACCTCACTCTCAAGTATACACTGTATTTACACTGTAAATTATAAATTAACAATGTTTAGTTTCTTACAAAGAGAATATATACAAAATGTTTTACCGCTGGCATCTACCCCTAGCAAGAACAGCCAAAAAGTCCCCAAGTATGATACCTTAATGTTGGAGATGTAATGATAAACAGGGAACATACTTTCATATGTGGTGGACCCGCCCCCATGCACGGAAATACTGGTAAAAAATAGATTATGGTTAGAGGAAATAACAAAATGACTTAGATAAGGGAATAGAAGGGGAACTTACCAAATTTGCAGATGATACTACGCTGGCAGGAATAGCTAACGCCCAAGAAGATAGGCTCAAGATCCAGATGGATCTTGACAGACTAGAACACCAGGCCCTATCTAACAAAATGAAATTCAATGTAGAGAAGAATAAAGTCCTACACTTAGGCAAGAAAAACCAAGAGTACACATATAGACTGGGTGAAACCAGGCTCAATAGCAGGAACTGGGAGAGGGATCTGGGAGTCTTAGTGGACAACCAGCTAAATAGGAGCCAGCAGTGTGCAGCAGCAGCCAAAAAAGCCAATGCAATCCTAAGTTGTATTAACAGAAGGATTCAATCAAGATCAAGGGAGGTACTAATACCACTCTATAAAGCCTTAGTAAGGCCACACCTAGAGTCCTGCATCCAGTTTTGGTCACCACATTATTAAAAAGATGTTGAGATTCTAGAAAAAGTACAGAGAAGAGTAACCAAGATGATGAGGGAACTGGAGACTAAAACACACAATGAACGGTTGCAGGAACTGGGCTTGGCTAGTCTAGTAAAGAGAAGGACCAGGGGAGACGTGATAGCGGTCTTCCAATATTTGAGGGGCTGCCACAGGGAGGAGGAAGGGATCAAGCTATTTTCTAAAACACCTGTAGGCCAGACAAGGAATAATGGATGGAAACTGATCAAGGAGAGATTCAACCTGGAAATAAGGAGAAACTTTCTGACAGTGAGAACAATCAACCCATGGAACAGAAGTTGCCCTCGGAAGTTGTGGGAGCTTCATCCCTGGAGGCTTTCAAGAAGAGATTGGTCTGCCATTTGTCAGAAATGGTGTAGGGTCTCCCGCTTGGATGGGGGGGTTGGACTAGATGACCTACAAGGTTCCTTCCAACTCTGATGATCTCTTATCTGTTAAAACAGAGAATAAAATTTAAACCAGAACTTTTTTTATTAGGCATGCTAGAACCAAGCATAAGAAATATCAATACCTGATGTTCCACATCATAACAGCTGCTAGAATTACTTCTGCCCAAAATTGGAAGCAGGCTACGATCCCCACAGAAACCATAATAATTAATACAGTACACGAATGTGCTGTGTCGGATAGATTAACAAAGTTATTGAAAGATAAGGAAGAAGGAGAATATTATAAAATATGGGATGTCTGGGACGAACGGATAAGGGAAAGGAGTTGAATGATAATTTTGTAACCTCATAAAACAATAAGGTTTACATGTAAACCAATGTAAATAAAAATGTATGTATGTATAAATAATACTTAAAATGATGAAGAAGTAAATACAAAGATGTATAACACGCTAATAGGAATGAAATGCGAATGTATACAGTGCTTTAGCAATGTTGCAATATGTGAAAATTTGCTTTTAACTGACGAAACGTTTAATAAATAAATTTATTAAATAAAGTATACACTGTCTGGGGCAAAAAGACCAGGAGAAAAACCCATCCCTCATTTTTAGTGATAAAGGAGGAGCTTTGAATAGAACGAATGAGCTGGAGCGGAGCTTGAAAGTCTTCTAGTTCAGTAGAAGATCCGATACCATTTCAGAGAAGTGATTGTCCAATCTCTTCTTGACAACTTCCAATGTTGGAGCACCAATAACTCCTGGTGGCAAGTAGTTCCACTGGTTTATTGTCCTCACTATTAGGAAGTTTCTCCTAAAATTCAAGGTTGCTTCTCTCTTTGATTAGTTTCCAACCATTGTTTCTTGTCCTGCCTTCAGGTTACTTTGGAGAATAATTTGACTTCTCCTCTTTGTGGCAGTCCCTCAAATACTAGAATACTGCTATCATGTCTCCCCTAGTCCTTTTTTTTCTCGAGATTGGCCAAATCCTGTAGCCATTCTTCATGTGTTTTAGTCTCCAGGCCTTTAATCATCTTAGCTGCTCTTCTCTGAACTTTTTTTCTAAAGTCTCAACATCTTTTGTGTGTGTGTGTGTGTGTAGTATGGCAACCAAAATCGGTTGCAGGTGTGGTCTTACTAGGGTTTTATAAAGCGGTAGTGATACTTCACGCTTTATAAAACCCGTAGTAAGATCACACTTGGAATACTGCAAACGATTTTGGTCACCATGCCACAAAAAAGATTTGAGACTTAAAAAAAAGTTCCGAAAAGAGGGACTAAGATGATTAGCCAGGGGTGTGTGTTGTGACTCTGGGATTTGAATCTGGTCCATCAGCAGATGTGAGCTCGAGTGAAGAGGATCTGGCACTGAGATATGAGCCTGCATTGTTGAGTGATTTTGAAGGTAGCCAGGATGAGGAAGTGGACTTAGCTACGAGAGACGAACGTAATTTATTGGAGGTGTCTTCCCCCGAGGATCCCTCTCTCACTACACAGCAGCTGGGAACAGATAATCAGGAAAATGTGTGAGAGGCTTCAAGTGAGGAGGAGGAGGGCTTTGAGGGATCTTGGCTTGACGTGAGAAATAGACGGAGATTGAGACATCAATCTCAATTGGGAAAGAAGCGTCAAGCCAGTGATTAATGAGACTAACACGCCCTCTTTAGGGGATAAAAGGAAACGGATTGGCTTGAGAAATTTGCCAGAAGCAAAGTGTATTGTTGGAGCGAAAGTACTGTGAAGATTCTCGGAGGCATTGTGATTTATAGGCACTTCAGGATTGCCCAAGAGATTTCGGGATTACTGCTGAGAACTGGAAAAACCTCAGCAGTTACCTTTGTTGGGGTTTGCTTTCGGTTGCTTGTATTTTTCGAACTTTAGAGTTTTGATTGCTCACCTGTGGATACAGGTGAGACATAACAGGTGTGTATGTATGTGCGTGAGAGGGTCATCTGAGGATCCAACACAAAGGATCTGCCTCAGCATCCAACCATCTGCCCTGAAGATGCCTACAGTTGTGTGAAGTTCAGACCACGTGGTGGGATTCACATTTTTTTTTTACTACCGGTTCTGTGAATGTGGCTTGGTGGGCATGGCAGGGGAAGGTTACTGCAAAATCCCCATTCCCTCCCCACCCCACTAACCTGCTTTCCAGTTCCGTTCTCCTGTGCAGGCAACCAAAGGAGATCCAGCCAATCAGCTGGGACTCAATGGGAGGCAGAGAAAAGATGGGGGCGGGGCCAGTCAGAGGTGGGATTGGCCGGTTCTCTGAACTATTCAAAATTTCAGCTACTGGTTCTCCAGAACTGGTGTTGTGGTTAGCCAGCAGCAGGTGCGGATGATGAGGAGAGCGAGGACTCAGATGAGGGGCCAGGACCATCAGGGAGTAGACTGCTGCCTTCACAGATTGTGGGGGCTGGCAACAGCGATGAGGAGGTTCCAGAGGAGCCTGTGCTAAGTGGATGTGCACGCAGGATTGCTCTGAGGAAAGAGCAGCTACAACAGCATGGGCAACTCAGGAGTAAGGCTGAAAGTTAATGCCCCCTCCTTCAAGAAGATAAAAGCCAGCTGTGAAACTAATCTTCTTTGCAGAAGGCAAAGACGTTTTGAAACTCCAGCCTCGTGGACATTCTAGTATCCTGAGTTTGTATTTGAAGGTTCTTATTTTGCATATTATTTCCTGTCTGTTATCTTTTGGCAAGTCTCGCACAGTTTGGCAAGGCTTGTGCTTATCACAGCTAATTATTTTGTTAAAAACATCACAAGGTTTCTGTTCTTTTTTTGAATTGTGTTTGATTTGTCAGAAAAGTGCGTGGGTCAGAACAACTGGTCAGAACTTGCTGAATTCACCAAGTCTGGATCAAGAGTCCCAGAAAGAGAACTGGCTTCAGGGAAAGGCACTGCGGTCTCCACAATTAGTAGGTAGCCCTCCGTCCCTCATTCGACGGGATGGAGGTTCCCAGTCCTGTGGGAGTAAACTCCATGTTTGGTAGGCTGTGTCTCTGTGACCAAAAACATTCTTGGAGACTCCTGTGTTGTTCCTGAGGAACCTCAACTGATGTCTCTCTGCTCTCTCCCTCAGTCGAACCATCCCAGCCTCAAATTATTGGCCCTCAAGACAGGATCGTGGCAGGATCGTGGGCTTCTTTTCAATGCTTGGCAAAGAACTTCTCCTCCAAAGCCATCAAAGTTTTTTGGAAGAAGGATGGGAAAACGATACATTCAGAAAAGGCTAAATTTTTTTCTAGTGAAGGACCGCGGGGCAGGGTGTACCGCGTGGCAAGCAGTCTGGCAATTTTGCTTGAGCAAGGGGACCTGAGGTCACAGCTGAGCTGCCAGATCCAACACAACTCATCTCGGAAGGCTCAAACCAACTTCCTGCTTGGGGATGTTCTGAGAGGTAGGTGAACCTTGAGTTGCAGAGAGGGAGGAGGTTATGCGCAGCGGTGGGATTCGAACATTTTTACTACCGGTTCTGTGGGCATGGCTTGGTGGGCGTGGCTTTTATTTTATTTTTTTTGCTTTTTTGCAGTTGCCACCTATTTTGGGGGCCTTCTGGGCTTCAGAGGAGCTGGGGGGGGCATTTTTGCTCCCCTAAGGCTCCTCTGATGTTCAAGAAGGCAAAAATTGGATCGAGGGCCGAGCCCCTCCCTCCATTTTCTGCTTTCCTGTGCCCCAGGGAAGCTTCCTGGGAGCAAAAAACGCCCCCGAGGAGGCTTCCCTGAGGCCAAGAAAGCCCCCAAAATGGGGGATGCTGCAAAAACGAAGAAGCAGCCACGCCCACCCAGTCACATGGCCACACCCACAGAACCCGTTGTTTAAAAAAAAATGAATCCCAACCTCTTACGACCAATCTCTTTGGCTTTCTTTGCTCAGTTCCTCCCCAAATACATCTTAAGATGATTCCACCTTCCCCCGTCCAGCTGAACACCTCGGTGATGGTCATTTGCAACGCAGAAAACTTTTATCCAGAAAATGCAGCAATGGGGCTGTTTGCCAGGGATGCCCCAAGCGGAAAAGGAATGGTTGCCCCCAAAACGTTGAACCCCGATGGCACTTATTCCTACAAAAGCTTCATGGAGGTGATGGCCACCGAAGACAGGAACTCCTCCATTTTCCTTTGTCAGGTCAAGCACGATTCTCAGCCTCTGGTCAACGAAACCACCAGGCTCTTCATTACAAGGCCGCTTAAAAAATCAGGAAGTAAGTGTGGACTTTCAAAACTTTCCTTTCTGAGGTTTTATTGACGTACAACCTTGGAGGGTGGCTGTTGTTGGTTTTTTTCCAGATTTGTTTTACGCTAAATGAAATTAGGCATCAGGGTAGGTCGTCCTTGGCTTACGGCCACCATTGGGCCCATGTTTCTTGTTGCTAAGTGAAATGCGGGTTCCATGGGTTTGGCTCCATTTCTACGGCCTTTCTTGCTAAGTGAATCTTTGTAGCTGTTACCTTAGTAGCACAGTTATTCAGTGCAGGGGTCGCCAACTGGTGGGTCGTGGCCCAGTGGTGGTCGGCAAGAAAATTTTGGTGGTCCACCAAGAAATGTCACCCCGAGAGCACCCCCAAAGCAATTAATCCAGGCTGCGCAGGAACACAAGGCTGTGCCGCCCACATGGCCTGTCCTCCTGCCCACTTCCTCCTTACCTAGCAAACTTGCTTGCTAAGTTGCTATTTTTCCTTTATCCGACCATCAGCTGTTCTGCTGTGCTGGGAGATTTAGATCAGCTAGAAAGCAGGAAATCGTTGGATTTCTTGCTTTATAACTAATCTTTAGATCTTCGGCTCTGCTTTTGAGCAGAGAGGAACCTTACTTAGGACTGAAGCAGTGCAGACTGAGCTAGCTGATGGCAGAAACACAGGTCTCTAAGTGAATCTGTGATTCTGTGAGCGACTCAATCTGCCTGCCTGCTTTGCCCGATTTTGGGTAAAAGATGCTCTTTCTTTATAAAGAAAATCACTATGTATATAAATATTTATAATATTTACATACAAGCCATGCCCAGCCAGTTATATGTCCACCAAGTCACACCCACAAATTAGGCCATGCCCACAGAACTGGTTGTTAAGAAATTTGAAATCCCACCCCTGCTTGTGTGTGTGTGTGTGAAAGAGAGAGAGAGAGGAAGAGAGGTTAGATCAGATCTCTCTCTCTCTCCCTCCCTCTCTCTCTCTCTCTCTCTCTCTCTCCAATGTGAGCAAGCCACCATCAGTCAAAATTCATGCTAGTGGTCCCTAAGGTCCAAAATTATGAGTTTGGTGGTCCCTAAGGTCCAAAATGTTGGCGACCCCTGCTTCAGAGAATCTGGCTTTCCCATTGTTGTGGTCCGCTGGCAGCCTGTGGAGATGGCAGCAGAATCGGACAGCGGAGAGGAACATGGGCCAGTCCTGGAGTCTGGGGAGGGCTCAGACAAGGGTCCTTCATCCCACACAAAGATGGAGCCAGGGCCATCAGGGAGTTATGTGCTGACACCGGAGCCTCCAAAATCTGACAGCAGAGAGGCAGAGGAACAGCGGGAGCCTGTTCCCAGTGCGCGCGTGCACAGAGCTGCCAGAAGGCAGGAGTAGTTAAGACAAAAGGGGTGACTCGGGAGGAAGGCTCCCATAAGATATAAAGGAAGTGCAAAGGGACGGGAACCTTTGCAGGAAGCAAGGTTGTTGGCTCTGGTCGGTTTGGAACCCGAAAGCTCCATGGTGAACTTGTGCTCTGTTTTGGTTTTGAGAGGCTAATCGGTACTTTAGCCGTTGCCAGCACTTCAAGGAAGATAAAGGTGGGTTCTTATCAAACTTCTCCCGAAGGACTTTGGCAGACTTCCAAAGGGGACTATTTATAACTGGTTGAGACTCATTACGGGCTGTGAAGGACGATAATTCACAGCCATCGAACTAAAATAAAAGGGTTTTGGATTTAATGTGTGTGTGTGTGTTGGTGTCTCAGGAAGCTTTGGTCAGTACACCCATTGAGTGTCCTTGTCAGAAGGTCACAAAAGGGGAACCCATGGCCCCCAGGGGGCAAGGCCACTGCCACCATCATAAATACGAATCAGTGGTCAAGCATCTGAATTTTCATCACGTGACGGGGGGGGGGGGGCGCTACAACAGTTGTGTGCAGTCACTTTTTTCAGTGCCGTGGTAACTTCGAAAAGTCACTAAGCGAAAGGCTGTAAGTCAAGGACTACTTGTGTTTCCTGCTTCTGCATAGTTCGCATTTTCTTTGTGATCCTTTCCAGACTCAAAGCAAAACTGATTTCCAGGAAGTTTTTATGTCTTATATATAAACATACTAGCTTTATACCCTTGCTTCACTACAAAACTATGTGGTCAGGCTTAGTTTTGGGGGAGGAATATATGAGGGGGGGGGGGAATTCTGCCTCTGCCTACCAGCATCCATCGGTCTTCATCTGGCTAGCCTCCTGTCAGTGTGTGAGAAAGTGGAGGGCTGTTTGGAAAGTGAAATTGTATTTGCTGTGTGAGCAAGAAGGAGACAGCAAGGAGCCTGGGCGTGGCTTAGCTCAACTGTTCTGCACTAAAGCTGCTCGGTGCTGTGAAATTGAAACTGAAACTCCTCTGCTTGTGTTTTGCATTTGGAGCAGACTTCATTTCAGGTGGGGAGGGGGAGTAGAACTCCTTAGCATCAGAGCGTGTTAATAATAATAATATAGGACAGTGGTCGCCAACCAGTGGGCTAGGGACCACTAGTGATCCATGAGAAAATTTTGGTGGTCCGCAGAGAAATGTCCTCCCCACCATAGCAATTAATCCAGGCTTTGCGTCGCTTGCATTGCAAACAACATGAGGTAGTGAGGGGAGGGGGGAAAGGGCAGAAGGGGGAAACTTCCCCCACTCACCCCATGCGCCTCACCTGGTCACCGGGCTGCTTCTTTCCGCTTCTTTCTTCTTCTGCTTTTGGCTGCACGCAAGGAAAGCAGCCAAAGTCTTTCTTTCTCTCCCCCCAAATTCCGCCAGAAATGAGTCTTTGGGACCCTGCAAGGCCTCTTGCTCCACGAGGCTGCGCCGGCAAACACTCTTTTCTGGCGGAGTTTGGGGGAGAGGAGAAAGACTTCTGCAGCTTCTGCTGCTTTCCTTGCATGAAGCCAAAAGTCTCTCTTTCTCCCTCTGTCTCTGTTCCATGAGAACGGAGCTGGGGACAATATCCTGTGATCCCAAATAAAGAACGATCGATTGGTAGGAAAATGGGGTAGGTCTTTGGGACCCTGCAAGGCCTCCTGCTCCAATTTTAAATCCCACGGACCAGAGACCCTGGGAAAATCTCCCCCCAAAAGTCTGCAGGAAAATCTCCCACCCTGTTTTCCTACCAACCGATCATTCTTTATTTGGGATTGCAGGATACCGTCTCCAGCTCCGTTCTCATGGAACAGAGACAGAGAGAGACTTTTGGCTTCATGCAAGGAAAGCAGCAGAAGCAGCAGAAGTCTTTCTTTCTCTCCCCCAAACTCCGCCAGAAATGAGTCTTTGTGAGACTTGTCGTGCCAGCGCAGCCTCTTGGAGCAGGAGGCCTTGCAGGGTCCCCAAGACTCATTTCTGGCAGAGTTTGGGGGAGAGAAAGAAAGACTTTGGCTGCTTTCTTTGCGTGCAGCCAAAAGTGGAAGAAGAAAGAAGTGGAAAGAAACAGCCCGGTGGCCAGGTGAGGCGTGTGGGGCAAGTTCCCCCCCTCCGCCCTTTCCCTCCTCCTCTCACTACCTCATGTTGTTCACAACACAAGTGACGCAAGCGTTGTGTTCCCGCAGGCCATGTGGGTGGTGCATCCTTGTGTTCCTGCACAGCCTGGATTAATTGCTATGGTGGGGGGGAAATTTCTCTGCCGACCACAAAATTTTGCTCATGGACCACCAGTGGTCCCAGGCCCACTGGTTGGCAACCACTGGACTAGATGACCTCCAAGGTCCCTTCCAAACCTGTTATGTTGTTTTGTTAATCCACTGTCTTTTCTCCACAGACTCTCAGCAACAATCCACCATTGTTCTCTGCATCGGGCTTTTCCTGAGCAAAGTAGCTGCCGTTTTCATCTTTTACCTTTTCCTGATAAATATGTGGAGACGCCACAGGACAAGATCTCATTCAGGAACATCCCAGGAAGTGAGGCAGTCTGGGACTTCAAGTTAGGGACTCCTCTTCCTAACAGATTTTCAGGATGAGAAAGGATCCGAATTAGGCGATCAATAATAATATTATTCAAATGCTTGTGTCCCGAGCACTTCACTCGGCCAAATGTATAAAGTTATAAGCCTGTGAAATCAATTTGGAGATTAAAAAGAAAAACAACCTTACTTTGCTTTGCCATGTCTGGGACTTCATCAAATCTTCCTTAAAATGTAAGTGCTGATTCTTTGTTTTAGAAAGAAAGAAGGAAGGAAAGAAAGAAAGAAAGAAAGAAAGAAAGAAAGAAAGAAAGAAAGAAAGAAAGAAAGAAAGAAAGAAAGAAAGAAAGAAAGAAAGAAAAACTGAAGAAATTATTCTTTTGGACATGTATTGAAATAATTAGGAAAGAAAGAAAAATAAAAAGCATATAATTACAGAAGTTATTAAAGAACAAATGTATAAAAAACATAATTCTGGGATGTTTTTTGCTTCTTCCTGACTCTCTCCTTTCTTGTATTATTCTACTAGCCATGTGTGATAATTCAGAAACTGTCACAAAATTATGTATTGTGAGTCTTACTCTATTAAATTAATAATATTTTAGTCCTTGGCTCCTTCTTATGGTTAAAATATCATCATTACAGGGTATTTTTTTTGCATAAATATTAATTTATAAAATTTAGTAAAAATGAATAAAATAATACAACTTATACAGTTATTTATTTGCTTACAGAAGTTATAAAAGAGCAACTATTAAAAAATCAAATAATTCAGGAGTGTAGACATGTTTTTAAAATATGAAGAAGTGGTATAAAATGTTAAATGTCTACATTCAATACTCTTGTCTGTATGTTATTTGTACAGATAATTTTCCAGGAATTATGTCATTCTATAAAATTACATAATGGGTACAAAGAGAAATATGGTGTTGCTTTCGAATATTTTGCTGTACTTATTTGATTTAATTGTCTATCTTCTACTGGTTTCTGTAAAAAAATGTCTGCAAAAAATGAACTCAAATAACTAAGAACAGTTACCATCAATTCACTTTTTTAAAAAAATTATCTGTATAATTTTTATTGAAATCATCGAAGTATAAAATACAAGTAAAACTAAAGAAAGAGAGAGAAGGGGAAGAGAGAATTGTGGAGTAAAAAATAAAAAAAAACCATTTCCAATTCTTTTCAGTGCAGTAAAATAAAATCAATAAATATACAGCTTCATTTTTTTTTACTTTTGCATACTTAATATATATCAGCCCTTTCTACAGCAACAAAGTGATCGAACCAGCAAATTCCAAAGTCAGAATTTTATTTTTCTGCCTCAAGCACCAAATCTTAGAAGCGGTTTCTGTTAAGATAATTCCCTGTGAGGAGAATGAGCGCATACAGGGAGACGTATTTGAGAGTAGTGTTTGAATAATACACACACAGCACACAGATACACTGTACAGTAAATATAGTTTTTTTACTTTCAATAAAGGTTTAAGCAAAGTTCAAAATAAGCAGTCCAAAGTCATCCACAGATAAAATCAGTCAGTTTTCAGTCCAGGGATAATCCAATAACAAAGTCCAGCGTCAAAAACAGTTCAGTAACAAACTTACATCAAATCCATGAATAACAGTCAATTAGAAGGAACAGCAATATTCTCCAACAGAAGGAAAAAGAGACTCACTGAGACTTCTTCTGAGACTAAGACTAAACAACCTAGGTTTCTGGCTCCATCTTATGGCCTTTTGAGAAAACACACTCAATTACACTTTTGGATTTTCTTAAAGATACAGTATTAAAATGTCTATCCTGGTTTATATATTCCCAACCTAAATACCTGTTAGGTGACTTATATTCCTAACAGTTTCCAAGTAGAAACACAGCTGGATGTATTTTATAATGATTATTAAAGCAATTAATTTGGCCATTTCTGCTAGTTCTGTCAGTTTTTCCAGCCATACTTCCATTTTGGAATTACAGTATCCTTCCATTTTTGCACAGTAAGCATTGTTGCTTTAGTCTAACTTGGTACAAATCCAGTTGCTTGTAAGTGTCCATCATTTCTTGTTTAACCTTAAGGGTTTTGCTTCCTTGGTTTTTTTTCTGTAGAATTCAGTCTAATTCTTTGTTCTTGATAGAGAAAAATCACCTTTTCAGGTTTGTTCCAATGAAATGAAAACTTTCTCTGCTTCAAAGTATCTGGAAGGAATGCCTTTCTCTTTCAAAATTACTACCAACCTGCCTTCCATCGAGGACCTGTATACTGCACGAGTCAAAAAGAGTGCTGTGAAAATATCTACAGACCAGTGGTGGGATTCAATTTTTTTTTTACTACCGGTTCTATGGGTGTGGCTTGGTGGGCATGGCAGGGGAAGGATACCGTAAAATCTCCAGTCAGAGGTGGGATTTGCTGGTTCTCCGAACTATTCAAAATTTCTACTACTGGTTCTCCAGAACTGGTCAGAACCTGTTGAATGCCACGTCTGCTACAGACCCTCACATCCTGAACCTAAATTGTTTCAACTCCTACCCTCAAAATGACGCTATAGGACACTACACACCAGAACAACTAGACGCAAGGACAGTTTTTCTCCTGAATGCAATCATTCTGTTAAACAAATAATTCCCTCAACACTGTCAAACTATTTACAGAGTCTGCACTATTATTACTATTAATCTTCTCATCATTCCGATCGCCCATCTCCTCCCACTCAGGACTGTATGACTGTAACTTTGTCATCTTTACGGTTTATATTGACTGTTTCCTAGTATGATTTGATTGCTGATTTGACTATCATTAAGTGTTGTACCTTATGATTCTTGATGAATGTATCTTTTCTTTTTATGTACACTGAGAGCATATGCCCCAAAGACAAATTCCCTGTGTGTCCAATCACACTTGGCCAATAAAGAATTCTATTCTATTCTATTCTAGTCTAGTCTAGTCTAGTCTAGTCTTATTGTACCCTATGACTATTATTAAGTGTTGTACCTTATGATTCTTGACTCTTGATGAATGTATCTTTTCTTTTTATGTACACTGAGAGCATATGCACCAAAGACAAATTCCTTGTGTGTCCAATCACACTTGGCCAATAAAGAATTCTATTCTATTCTATTCTATTCTATTCTATTCTATTCTATTCTAT